CGAATCATTTTTACCTACTCACCTTTAAAAATTTTTTTTAAAATGAGTGAAAACTGTATATTCAGTGAAGGGTTTTAAGGAGGGAGAGATGTGATCAGACTTGTGTTCTAGAAAGATCTCGGTGGCTGCAGTGGTATGGAAGATAGATGAGAGTAGGAAGGATGAGGGCAGGGGGACCGGAGAGAGACTCTGTGGTAATTGAAGCCAGGGTTGTAAGATAGGACCAGTGGGCGTGGTGAGGGAAGGCAGGCTAGAGAGAGATTTAGGAGGTGGAGTGGACAGGTTGGGAAGATAAGGACGGGGCAGAGTCTTTGGCTCGATGTCATAAGATTGGAGACAGTGGTATGATGTGCGCTCCAAAGGAAAAGGCCTGGAGTTGGAAGTCAGGAGACTGGGTTCCAGCCAGTTGGCCTGTTCCTCATGCATTGAGCATCTGCTTTGTGTGAGGCGCCCTCAGAGGGAGGAAAATAGCTGCTCTTTTTCATCCCTGAGGCCGCATGTGAGAAGTGAAGGCACCAGAGAAGATAAGAGCATTAGACATAAGATGCAGGGGGAAAGACCTTACACCTGAGACCTGGCACATTGGGCTCCCTCCACCATGGGCTCCCTCTGCTGCCTGCTTAGCACCAGCAGGAGCTCTACCGGAGCCAGCCCATCCGGGAGATTCCAATGGGCTCAGGTGGTGCTCGGGCAACAGAAGGTTTAAGAAGTTCCGAGAGTGGTTCTAACGTGCACCCACATGGCACAGAGGAGGATACAACCCCGAGAGGGGAAGTAATGTGCCGAGGATGCACAATGAGCCAAGTTTAGAGCAGAATCCAGATCCAAAGTCCTCTCCATCTCTTCCCTGCCCCCTTCTCAGAGCAAGACTCTGCTCTTCTCTCAACAAGAGACCTCCACATTCGTGTAGGGGCAGGTCGGGCCAAGGAGACCCAGCTTGGCTCTTCATCTATCTTGTGGCCTTCAGCTGATTGCTCTGCCTCTCCGAGCCTCAGTTTTCTCATTTTTTATGCGGTTGATCCTATCGGTCCTGCCTGCCTCACAGCATTGTGAGGATAAGAGGAAGACAAACACATAAAAATACGTGGAGAGGACTTAATTTAAAAGCACCATGAAATATAAGCCATGGTGCACTTGTACATTCCAAAAGTTTTCCACGGTCCTGCTCTGTGCTGAGCAGGGGGCGTCACGGCTCGTGGTACTAACCAGGTAAAATAACCAGGTAAAATAGATGTGCTCACCTTTAGCCCAGAACTTTGGATCTTGGCCTATGATCCGTCTCCCCTTGGGCCTGGCCCTTGCCTCAGAGTCCTGGAGATGGGCTCTTCCAAGTCCCTGTTTCTCAGGGGAAGATCCGATCGATCAGTCAGCAGCAGAGCCAGGACAGAAGCAGGCCTCTTATTTCCTGAGAAGACCCTGGTGCCTTTACCAGAATTTCTCACTACTGCTTATGAGCCCACTGGGTGCCATAAATAGACACCGTGGCATTGAAAGGCATTATTCGCACTTGCCAACAAACACCTTTTTCAGCTTATAGACAAGCCAGCCCACACCTGACCTCAGGGGCCCCTACGCGTGTCCCTGGGCTCTGCCCCAATGCCACTTGGAGGACTTCCTCATCGCCGCCCCCCGCCACCCCTCAGGCAGCCCTCCTCACACCCCACTGGTCTCTGCCCTCCTCATGGTGGCCTGTCTCTTCTCCACTTGCAGGGGCCCCTCATGTGGCCTCTCCCTGCCCATTTCCTGCCCCTCCACCATTTTCTCCACCTAAAGTCTATGGTCTCTTCTTCTGCTATAACAGCTTTTATTTGTTGAGTACTGTCTGGACACTGGGTACCCTGTAGACACTATCTCCTTTAATCTCTGGGTAGTCCCAGGAGACAGGTGCTGAGCTCCTAACGGTCAAGGTGCTTGCCCAAGGTGTGCTGGTAAAGGGAGCATGGGGATTCTGTGTGACTCCAGGGCCCTCTCTCCTCCTCATCCCCCTCTGCAGCTGGCTGCTCCCATTCTCCTGGGAGCAGGGTCCTGGGATCCAGAACCACTCAGGCCTCCCTCCACCCCACCCACTGCAGTGAAGACAAAGAGCTTAGCTAGAACCCAGGACAGCACTTATATACAGAAGGAACTCAATCCCTGCATGCTGAATCGGAGGGAGGGGTCTTACCCATGCTGGGTTGGGGGGTGGGTGGAGATGGCTCTTCAGCAGGGCTCTAACAAAGGGGCTAGAAGGTGAAAGCCCCTTTCTTAGAGCTCCCTCTTTCCTCACCCCACATTCCCCTGGATTTCTAATCAGAAATTCTTAGTCTTGATCTTCGAGAACGCACTTTGTCCTGAGTCCCAAAGACTTCTGCTCACAGCCTGGTTGGAGGTGAGGGCAGCAGGGTGGGGCCAGAGCATGGGAATGAGCAGGCATCGAGGCCCCAGGTCCCTCCCCAGTCCAGTGCAGGTGCGGGTGGGTTCTGAGGCACACAGGCTTTGTTGGTTGGGAGCAGGTGACTCACACCAGCCACTTCCCCCATCCTCATCACAACCTCATGCCCCCTCCCCTCCCAGGGAACAAAGGAGCAGAAGGGAAGACCCTAACTTGATGGAGGTCAGGTCCTACTTTTGCCCCAACCCTAGCCTCAGCCACTTGGCCACTCTCAGCCTCCATTTCCCATCTGTGGTGGAGAGGACACGGGGGAGACCCCTCCACCCTGAGCAGTTCCTGGAGAAGGGCTGGTCTGGGCTGGCTTCTTTTGGCCCAGCAAACGAGGGAAATTGTGCCTCAGTTCCCTGTCAGATGCTCTGTGGTCTCCTTAGAAGCTTACCCAGGGGCTCCAGAGGGCTCAGACCAGGCCTGGGGAATTGGGTCTGTCTAGTGCCCCCTGCCCAGGCCAGGTTTCCTGGAAGCCCCACCTGGGCCCAAGGACTGCGGGACACTTGACTGCTTGGACATGTTGCAGGGCCAGGTGTGGGCAGAGTGAAGGGGGAGAGAGACAAAAAGAGAAACAGAGGGAGATGGACAAAGAGATGCACAGAGACACGTGTGAAAGCAAGACAGAAAGAGAGCACAGAGCCAGCGCAAGCCAGACCCTCACAGGGTAGGGTCTGCTGGTCTCTTGCCCTCCCCGCTTCCTTCCCATCCCTCCTCACCCTCTCTCTGTGGAAGAGGCAGGAAGGCCAAGCCTGAGGGAGGGCCTTGGCGCCCACATGTGAAAACCTGGGGCTGCTCACAGGAGTGGGCTTTGTTACCTCATTTCTGGATAAAAACCATCTGGCATTGGGTGAGCTGCCTCGAAGTGTCCTTGTTTCCTACGCATATCCAGCATGCACTGTTGCTTACACGTGTGTACATACAGACGCATGCTCACAGACCAGGACACATACACTTGCACACAGACATGCTCTAGAATACGTGCCCGTGAGTGTGCGCGTGTGCACCCAGGGCCCACGCGAATGCACACAGTGTGCAGAAGCACATTCTCAGGTACACACCTGACCACAGTATGCTTTACCTGGGTAGTGATGCCAGCTGTCTACCTGGCTCTGGCCCCTTTCTGGCCTTTGCCCAGGAGGCCGTGTTGATAAAGGCCCTCACTCCTGCCTGTTCTTCTGATGCTAGTCAACTTCCAGGGGAAACTTCAGGGCCCCAAAACCCTTAGACTTTCAAAGCCCTTGTGGGTGCCCTCTGTTACAGGAACCCTATGCCCTCTTCCCCCAGGCCTGACAGCGGTCTGGCCCCTTCCCACCCCCACCCCACAGTGTGGCCTCTGCCCCCCTGCCGCCCCTGCAGGCTCTGATCCTTGGGTAGACAGGACTCAGAATGAGGGGTCAGCTGTGCATGGCTCCTCGTGCCCTTCTACCCCCAGCTCCTAGAGCCCCATCTGGAGGAGGCCAGCAGCTGGCTCCTTGGCACTGCCAGCCTCCAGCCCCAAGAAGCCTTCTCTCTGCCTGCTTGGCGGAACTTCCACCGGAGCACCCTGGAGCTGTTGCTGGTTTCCAGCAACTGCCTCTGCCCCGTAGGGGAACGTGGGAAAACCAGAACAAGTTGGGGGTTTCATGCCAGGGAGCTAGGCTGAGTGGGAGCCACTCTGCCTCTGGCCATGCTGGGCCCAGAGGGCCAGGGGAGGCCCTTGCGGCTGGAGCAGGGTGAGGGGTGATCTCCCATGTGCTTTAGGTCTTAGAGGCTGTGTGTTGTAGCCAGAAGAGAGGTCTGTGCTGGCCATCGGGAAACCTGGGCTCTGCGGCAGTGGGCACTGGGTCAGGTCATTTCCTGTCTCTGGGCCTCCCTGCCTCACCTGCACACGGAGGGGGCTGGGCCAGATCACCTCAGAGGGCCTTTACAGGACCCTCTGACTCTGAAGGTTTGCAGCTGGACCATGGTAACTGAGGAAGCCATTGACATCGGGAGGGACCGTGGCACCCCTTTCTCTCAGTGCACCATCCGAACTCTGCAGAAACCTCAGACCTTGAGTGAAAAACAGTCCCCGTGCAGCCTGGAGGAGAGGCCTTTCCTCTTGCCTCACTCACATAGGGGGCAGGTGTGATAGGGGGCAGGTGTGAAAGGAGGGGACTTCCCAGGGAGGGACTCTGGCAGAGGGAAGGTGGCATTTCTGGGACACCCAGGGCACAGGCATGAGAGTCACTGTTCCCAGGCAGTATGCCCCTGTCCTGGTGATGGGGCCAGGGCTGGGCCACTGGGAGCAGCTTCAGGGCCTGGAGGGGAGGGATGGTCCATGGGCCACAACCCTATGGGTCCTAGGGCCGGCCCTAAGTGGGCTCTGGCCTTAAGTTCTCTGTGGTGAAGACATAGGAATACTGTCCCCGAATTGGAGACCCTAGGGGTCAGAGGACCGTAGCAATCAAAGACCATTGCCCAGCAGCCACAGCCACAGGATGAGGCCTGGGGAGCCCTGGGACCACATGGTCTGAGGGTGGGCCTCACACTGAAAGCTCCGTCTCTCCTTCTCTCCTCCTGCTCCATTTCCTGTGGCCTCCTGCTGCTTCCTGATCCCCAGGAGGTGGAGGTGAGTATTGCCTGGGGCTCCACTGCGTATGGTCCCCCTGCAGCTGCATACCCCACTCTCCTCCTCTCCCTCCAAACCCTCGCCCTAACTTCTCCTTCCCTGCAGCTTCCGGTGTGGGATGGGGGGAATAAGGAACTTAGGGAGAGGCTGGAAGGGACTCTGCACATTGGTTTAGGGGGATAAAGGTGTGAGGGAGGCAGCTGGCAGGGCCTGGGTGGACAGGGGTCATCTGGGAAGCCACCAGGATGGTGGCAGTTTGCATGTGGAAGCAGTGGCCCAGCCCTCTCTCCTCCTTGGCCCTGGAGTTGAACCTTGGTCAACTCTGGGCTGTGAATCTTCACCCTTCCCTTCTCCCCAACCCGTCTCTGTCCTTCCCCAGGATGACTACATCAAGAGCTGGGAGGACAATCAGCAGGGAGATGAAGGTAACATGCCCCTCCCAGGTAGGGGGAGGTGACTGATACTGATGATGACTTGAGACCAGAGGGCAAGTCTGCTTCTGGCCTTGGGGGCTCCTAGGGCAGCCAGGCCCTGTGGGGTGGGACTTCTGAGCTGGGGAGCTCTGGTTATCAAGGGCTGCTGGAGAGAGGGGCTTCCCAGCTCAGAAGCAGGGCTGGAGGCTCCTGGGAGGCTCCTGTGCTCTCTGGCACCGATTCCCAGGTGACCTGTGCCCTGACCCTATGTCCCTACAGCTCTGGACACCACCAAGGACCCCTGCCAGAAGGTGAAGTGCAGCCGTCATAAGGTGTGCATCGCCCAGGGCTACCAGCGGGCCATGTGCATCAGCCGCAAGAAACTGGAGCACAGGTGAGGGGCTTGGGAAGGTCGAGCCTGCGGAGGCAGGGTTTGCTTAAAGAGCAAAGGGCTTGGCTGACCCTCTCCTATGTATTAGTTATCTATTGCTGTGAAACAAACTACCCCAAGACTTAGTGGCTTAAAATAACAAACCTGTATTACCTTACACAGTTTCCGAGGGTCAGGAATCCAGAAGTGGTTCTGTTGAATGGCTCTGGCTCAGGATGTGTCAAGAGGTTACAATCAAGATGCTGGCTGGGGCTACATCATCTTAAGGCTGGACCAGGGCTGGAGGATCCACTTCCAAGCTCACTTACATGGCTATTGGCCCTAGTCACGTAGACCTCTCCATAGGGATGCTTGAGTGTCCTCACAACATGGCAGCTGGCTTCCCCTAAGGCGAGTCATCCAAGGGAGAGAGAGAGCAAGGAGGGAGCCACAATGTCATTATGACCTAGTCTCGGAAATCACATGTCATTACTTTGCTACTTCTATTTTTTAGGAGTGAGTCATAAGTACTGACACATTCTAGAGGAGTGGGATTGGGCTCCATCTTTTGAAGGGAGGAGTGACAAAGAATTTGTAGACGTATTTTAAAACCACCACACTCTATGAGATCAATTACCAAAGAGTGTGGGACCCAGGGAAAGTTGCATCTCCTCTCTGAGCCTCGGTGTCCATATCTATAAGACAAGTAGGTTGGACCAGATAGTTTGAGGTTCCTTCCAGCTCTGATATGCAACAACTTCACAAAATATTTAAAGTTGCAGCTTCTGAGGCTGGCAAAGGAGGGAGGGGGTGAGGGGCATTTGAGGTCTTAGCTCCAGCCCAAGGACAGGACCTTGCCTGGCTCCATGACCCCTGGAAAAGGTCCCATTTCCCTCCTCATTCTCTTGAATCATAGAATCAGGGACCAGAGACTTAGGGTTGCAATCTTAGATGGCTTCAGGGGCCTGGCACATAATGCAAATGTGTGAAGAGAGCTCAGTGACAGACCACTCTGGTGAGCCCAGGCCCTGTGGAAAGAGGGCAGCTGTGTCTCGGCATTGGCTGATTACAGCTATGTGGGCATACAGGACCAGGACTGCCACATCTTCCATTTTACTAAGAAAAGCCAGGAATCCAGATTTTTATGTGAACTCTTCCATTTTGTAAATATTGGTGAATAACTCAATTAAACCCAAAACCCTTGGTGGCCAAACAAAGTGAGTCTACAGGCCAGATGTGGCCCGTGGGCCATCAGTTTGCAACCTCTGATTTGGTCTGACCCTTACGCAAGGTGCGACTACCTTTCACATCTTGCAGTCGGACCTGGAGTTGCTGCCTAAAGGCCCTGATGGCTTCAGTAAACCCTGGGAAGGGGAAGCTGGGGGTCTGTACCCTGCCCAGAGGGTTCCACCTTTAGGAGCTAGGGGAGGGTCTGGCTGGGGATGATGGGGGAGTGTGGGCAGGGGAAGGGAGGCTGCTGTAGATCACCCGTACCAGCTTCTTGTTGGAACCAGTCTCCTGAACTTTCCCTTCCCCTGTCCCTCTCTCGTTTTTGCCTCCATCCCTGTGCCCTTCCTGTCTCTCTCCTGTAGGATCAAGCAGCCTGCCCTGAAAGTCCATGGAAATAAAGACTCCGTCTGCAAGCCCTGTCACATGGCCCAGCTTGCCTCCATCTGCGGCTCTGATGGCCACACTTACAGCTCGGTGGTGAGGAGCCCCAGTTCCAGGTGGGGGTGGGGGTGTACCTCAGGTCACAGGCAGCAGAGAGGATGACTTGGCTGGGGCCCCCTGAGGGGTTCCCAGTGCTGACGTGGGGCCACATGTGCTGGGTCAGTGCATTCAGTGCGGCCAACCACAGTAGGGACACCTGAGCCCTGGGCTGGGGCTGCCTGAGAGTCCGAGCCAGACCCTGCTCCTGACCTTGGGCAGGTGCTGGTAGGTGGTGGGGCCTGGAAGAGGCAGGCGGGCAGGTAACTGCACGTCAGAGTAGGTGAGGTAGGGGCCTCATGAGAGTAGCGAGGGCTATGGAAAGAAGGGGCTCTGTTGTCCTATTGTTGGAGGGTGAAGGGTGGAGCTTCCCACAGGCAGATTCCCACATGGAGGGGACGGTGTTCACCAGCAAGCACCGGGCATTCCGTGGCAGGAGGAAATAATCCTCCATGAGACGACCATGTGGAGGGAATGATGGTTGGGGGAACAAATTCCCACCTTATGGGATTTTTTTGAAGATTAAATGAGACAATATCTGTGAAAACATTTTATAGAAATGCAAGTGCTGATTATGAATGCTTCTACTAACAACGAGGGCTTGGGAGTTGCTTGCTCTTTGGAGGGCGCTGACTGTTTGGGTTGGGCTCTAGGGCTCAGGAAGCCTTTTGGGGTGAGATGCAGATTTGAGTCACCTGCTGTGGGTGATTATTGAAATTAGGGAGGGGATGAGGTCCCCCAGAGAAGAGAGGTGGGGGAGAGACAGTGGGCAAGAGGCTGAGGGCAGAAGCTGCACTGAGGAGGCAGGGGTGGGGGGTGCGGGTACAAAGGAGGTGGGGGGCTGATAGAGGGAGGAGAAGAGCGCTGTGTCATACAACCCCAGGGCAAAGCAAGCTTTGGGCAAGAAGCTGTGGTCTCAGGGTCACACGCTGTCCTGTAGGGAGGAAGAGGTCAGGAAGTCTGGCTTCCATCCCAGCCTCGTGGCCCTGGGCCTCTCTGAGGTTCCATGTTCTCTGCCGAGTGGGAGAAATACAAATCCTCCCTCGCAGAGCTGTCAAGGACCAAGTGAGATAAGGTAAAATGCTGCGACGACCAGCTTCTCATTAGCGGTCATCCCACGGAGAGAAACCAGACATGACCAAGGGAAAATGGGCACGTTTAGGGGCAAGGAGTGGATGAGCCCCTCTCAGAAGCTGGCTTTAGCAACAGCTGTGGCAGAGTGTTTTTTAGTGAAGGCCGGGGAATTAGCAGATGTTCAATAGCTGATAGCTGTTTGTTATCAAGAGAGCTAAGCAAAGCCCACTGGAGTGACTGTGGGAAGACCAGCTGGCAGCCCGTTACCCCGGGACTCGGGGACTGTGGTGAGGAGGAGGAGAGGCCATGAGGGCAAGGAGAGGGTGGGCAATAGACAGCTCCACAGGGAAAGTGGGTGGGTGGGGGTGAGGGGATGGGGAGATGGGTGTCCTGGGAAAGAGAAAGGTGCAGAAAGGGCGGGCTGGGTGCAGAGTGGGGTTTGTGGAGGCCTTTGATTCCCTGGGACCCCGCTTCGTGGGCCTGCTGCCCCTTACCACTGTGCATCTGTGGCCTGCAGAGGGACTAGGAGGGTTCTTCCGGGCTGTCATGGGTGCCGTCCCTCCTGTCTCCAATGGGAAAGGCAGATGTGGCTGCCACGGTAGGCTTGAGGGTGCCGCCAGCTGCAGAGACCTGTGGGCGAGCCCCACATCACCCAGGCCGACTTTTCTTCTTGCGCAGTGTAAGCTGGAGCAGCAGGCATGTCTGAGCAGCAAGCAGCTGACGGTGAGATGTGAGGGCCCCTGCCCCTGCCCCACAGAGCAGGCCTCCACCTCCACCATCGACGGCAAACCAGGTAACGAGGAGTGCTGGGCCGCAGCCAGGCTGGGGGTCCTCCCTCACGGCTCTGGGATGGTAAGAGAGGTTTGCAGAGTGGGAAGGGAGAAGTGGCAGAAACAGGCACAGGCCTGAAGGATCTGTGGGTCGTGGGGCCTGGTTAACACAGAACAGGAGGGCCTCGGCCACAGGGAGCCCGCACTGTGTGTTTTTAGTGCTTGGGGGGAAGGGGAGGAGGAAGATGGGAGAGGATGGGAGAGGCAGCCTCTGATTTCTAACTCCCCTTCCCTCCGGCGTCTCTGACCACTGCCCAGCCTCCTGGCCTGTAGGGCAGCAGCCCGAGCTTGCTGCTTCACCTCACCTTCACCCTCCACCCCCTTCTCTCTATTCTGCCGGCCGCAGAGACCTGCACAGGTCAGGACCTGGCCGACCTGGGGGATCGGCTGCGGGACTGGTTCCAGCTCCTTCATGAGAACTCCAAGCAGAACGGCTCAGCCAGCAGCGGAGCCAGCCCGGCCAGTGGTACAGGAGCTGGTTGCCCCACCTGGGAGGAGGGAGGGAGATGGGGAGACAGGTGTGCACTGGGGCCAGCCTGCCTTGTGCTCTCTCCTGCCAGACTCTGAGCCCCTAAAAGAGCCTAAACCTTGGAACAAAGGGTGGTAGGCTTCAACCAGACAGGAGGGATTCGGGTTAGCTAATAGGAAGAACTTCTTAAGATGAGTGGAAGGAGCTTAAACCCTGAGATGGGTAGCCAAGGGAAGGTAAAGAATTATTTTCCCTGAAGGGCTTTCAAAGCAGGGTTTTGAATGGTTTAGGTGTAGTCCTATGTAGAGGCACGGGGATGGACCATCAGCCATTCTTGAGTTTCTCACCCCCATAGTTAGTTGCGAACTGCCCTGACCCTGAACCGAGAGCTGGGGCTGATGGAGAGGTGGAGGGATGGGTGGACAGATGGATGGAGTGGTTTGCCTTGAGCGTGTCTGAACCTTGGCCTTCTCCCCAGGGCTGGACAAGAGCCTGGGGGCCAGCTGCAAGGACTCCATCGGCTGGATGTTCTCCAAGCTGGACACCAGTGCCGACCTCTTCCTGGACCAGATGGAGCTGGCCGCCATCAACCTGGACAAGTACGAGGTCTGCATCCGCCCCTTCTTCAACTCCTGCGACACCTACAAGGATGGCCGTGTCTCCACCGCTGAGTGGTGCTTCTGCTTCTGGAGGGAGAGTAAGTGTGGCCCTCCTGCGTGGGTTCTGCCCCTCGCCCCAGGCTCTCTGTGGGAGTTAGCGTGGCTCCCTCTTGGCTGCCTTCCCAGGCCCAGAAGGTTTCCAGCTCACCTACTTCCTGCACTCTCTCAGCGCTGCGTCTGCAGAAGTCCAGGGAAGCCCACACTTGAGCTCCCCTCCTTGGCAGGCTCTGAGGTGGATCAAAATGTTGTGGGTCCCGAAGCTTATGCACTTTTGGAGGCCTTCTTTAAAGAGTATTAAAAACTACAAGTGTAAAATTTCTAGGACCCCTGGGAGAGCCTTTGAGGGGGCTGAGGGTCCTGAAGCTGAAGCTACATCGGCTTTCAGTGGTTCCACTTCTAGGCACATCTCACATTATTTGCCCCAAATATGTGATTATGTAGGTGATCATTAGCCGTAGAGATGTGGCGTCATTTGCTAGCTTTATGTATCCTGAACCGGAACTGGACATGTGCTCAGAGATCGTCTAGGCCAAGTGGCAACCACCATTGGTCATCGTCATGGGGAAACTGAGGTTCCGAGGGGTCTGTCCAGCCCGGAGGTGGGGCAGGCCCTGGTGCTCTGCCTGGGTCCTGCTGTGGTCGTGTGGTGGAAGCAGTACAGCATCCGTGGCCCGAGGCTGAGGCCTCGGCTTAGCTTCACCATATGCTGGTTTGGGCCCCTGGGCAGCAAACTGAATCCTTCCCGAGTTTGGTTTCTTCATCCGATTTGGAGATAACAGTACCTACCCGGAGACTGTTGTGAGGATGAACTGAGAAAATCTGGGTGCAGAGCACCGTGTAAATCCCCATTCCCTCTGCCAAGGCAAGGTATTTTGATCAGTGTTATTGCCCCTAACTGCCCAGACTTCCCACTATCTGCATTGCACCAGCACTTTACTTTCCAGGCCTCTGAAGCTCATTCCGTCCATTCTGGACAGCAGCCTCCTTGGGCAGGAGACTGGTAACTGATCGCATCTTACAATCAGCCAGGCTTCCACTTGGAAGCACTAGGGGACTTCTCAAGGTCACAGACAAGTTAGATTTGGCTGCCAGTTATTTTCAGGCTGCTGTCTAACATTTCCTCTGGTCTTATGTTCCCCCTGGGGCCTCTAACACTGGGGTATCCATCTGTTCATCACACCTCGTCTTCTGAATCCTGTTTACTCATTCCCTGGGTCCCCAACAGAGACATAGGCTTCTTGGAGGACCTCAGCCCATCCCACAGCCTTGGAATGGCCTCCCTCAATGGGAGCCTGGGTGTTTTTATTCCACAGAGTTCTTGAGTCAGGTTTGGAGACCTTGGAGGGATCAGTGCATCCCGCCACCACCATGGGATAGCCCTGTATCAGAGCCTGGGTATTTTCATCTTGCAGAGCCCCCTGCCTGGGTTTCTAAGCCCTGGGGGGGCTCAGTGAATCCTACCAGCAGCATGGGATGGCCCCCATCAGAGGCTGCTTCTCTCCCCACAGAACCCCCCTGCCTGGCAGAGCTGGAGCGTATCCAGATCCAGGAAGCTGCCAAGAAGAAGCCAGGTGAGGGGGCTGGGCTAGGCACTCAGGAAGAGGCAGGGAGGGGTGCCCTGGGGTCCTTCGGAGGCCCAGAGAGTCCGGCCCCTGATCATTGTAGAAGACGCTGAGCCCAGAGGAGGCACGGGGCCAGGAAGACAGGAGAGGGAAACCCCCTTCCTGTTTTTATGTTTTTGTTCTCGTGGTAGGGCAGGGTCTCCCAGTCAGCCCTCAGTAAGTGTGTTCTAAGCACAAATTTTGTGCCCGTCTGTGCTGGGGCTGGAGTTGGATACAGAAGGATCCTAGAGCCCTCCATTCAATGCAGTTCAGTAAGAGCATGTGCAAAGCTCGGGGAAGGCCCTCCACAGCAGACGCTCACTCAGCAAACACTCGAGTGCCAGCCCTGGAGAGACAGAACAACAACAGGCCCAGCCCAGGTCAGAACTAAGGGCAAGACAGCCTGGTTCCTGGCCCCATAAAGCACACAGTCTCCTCAGGGAAGTACCACACACAACGGACACACCAAAGAGAAAGAGCTCCCAACTGTGGCTTGCGTATGTATGGTGCTGAGGGAGAATGCAAGTGGACAGAGGTTAGCCTGGGGTCAGCGAAGTCCTCTCTGCGGGGCTGGTGTTCAAGAGGAGACCTGAGGGATGAGAACGAGCCAGCCAAGTGCAGAGCCCAGGGCAGGAAAAAGCACGAGGTTCTTGGGGAACAGAAAGAAAGGACGCATGTGGCTGGAGTGTGGTGGTTGAGGGGACCATGGTCCAAGGGGCAGATAGATCCTTGAGAGCTGCTTCCATTTAACTGGGCTGATGAGACCAGCACCCGGGAAGCCAGACACTGGAACCACCCTGCAAAGCCATATTGACTGTGAGCCCAGTGGCCTTCTGTGGTAGGCGTTAGCGCCACTTCTGCCAGGAAGCCACCATCTTCCCTTCCGGAAGCAATCCTTTCTGGTCTGTATCCCCAAGCATGCTCGTGGGCCTTGGGGCACCCATCCTGTGGTGCCTGGGATTATCATTTCTATGTGTCTCACCGCTCCTAAGTGGGCAGAGTCTGTCTCTGGGTCCCCAGAGTGGTGATCTCAGAAGACGTCCACAGAGTGGACAGAGGAGCCGCAGTTCTGGGCCTGAGGGAAAGTGGTCGGGCCCTGAGGGCAGGTCAGAATCAGAGGGGCTGAGAGGAGAAACTGGGCATTCCTGGCAGGGGAGGCCAGGCCAGAGGAGCAGCTGTAGGATCGAGGGTGTTGAGCATGATGAGATCAGACTGGCTGTCCTACAAGACTTGGGCCAAGGAGTCAAGGAAACGTGAAGGCCGATGGGAGCCCTTGGGGGCCTGAGCAGGTCGTCTGGGGGGCAGGTTTTCTCGTCTCCAGTCAGTGGAGCTGGAAGAAATGCTGGAGTCCAGCCCTGGACGTCTGGGCTTGTTGAGTGGTCGGTACCTGGGCTGGCTGTGCTCTAGTGGGGTCTGAACCCCTGTGCGAGCCCCAGGCTCCACAGCCACCTCTCTGGAGAGCCCACGCCCAAGGCCCCTCCTCTGACCCTGCTGGGCCCTGTCAACTTCAGGAGTCTTCATCCCGAGCTGCGACGAGGACGGTTACTACCGGAAGATGCAGTGTGACCAGAGCAGCGGTGACTGCTGGTGTGTGGACCAGCTGGGCCTGGAGCTGACCGGCACCCGCACGCACGGGAGCCCTGACTGTGGTAAGGGCCCGGCACAGCGTGGGGGCCTCTGACCTGAGCCTGGGAGGGCCAGGGAGGGGGCCTAGCTCCGGCTGGCAGGATTCTGGGTGGCAGGGAGGAGAGGCGGCCGCAGGGTCCTAACTTGCCCCTTGGCTTGTTCACCTCACAGACGACATCGTGGGTTTCTCAGGGGACTTTGGGAGCGGTGTCGGCTGGGAGGACGAGGAGGAGAAGGAGACGGAGGAAGCGGGCGAGGAGGCTGAGGAGGAGGAGGGTGAGGCGGGCGAGGCCGACGACGGAGGCTACATCTGGTAGAAGGCCCGCGGGGAGCCGGGGCAGGCCAGGGTGCCGACGGCTGGGGGAGAAGGGCCAGCACAGACCTGGACAGAAGCAGGCAGCGTACAGGTGGATCCAGAAAATACAGTTAGAAGGACCCTGGCTCCCATGGGGAGGACTGGATGTATGAGTGTGCATGACACACATGTGGCCTGTACGGCCGGGACGTATGAATGAATGTTTGTGTGTGTGTGTGTGTGTGTGGCATGTGCTGCACGTGTCCTTGTCCACACTGCTCCTGGCAGAGTGAGGCACCCAGAGGCCCCTTAGACCTCCTTGTAGTTGTCTTCTTTCCATTTGTTGTTGGTTTTAAAATACACACATTCATACACCACAAGGTCAAAACTGATGAAATGAGATTCCCCCTTGCCACATCCCCTAGCCCCATCCGGCCTCGCCCTGACTCCTTTGTCCTAATTTGCTACCCTTGGCTCAACCAGCCCTGCCTCCTCCTACCCCGGCCTGCCCTTCTCCCTCCCCTTTCTGGGGTCAAGCTCTGGCCTGCAGGCGTGTCCGCATTGCAGAGAGGAGGGAGGGCAGGGAGCTATCTGCTGGCTGGGGGTCCTCCCGAAGCTGGGCCAGTTTGGCTGTGACACCCCCACCAGCCTCAGATGAGCAGGGCTGGGACACCCACCACAGCAAGCCCCTTCCCTTTGTTGGGCTCCCAGCACTAGAGAAACTCTCCTAACCCAAGCTAGTGGGACCAGAGGTGGCCAAGAAGGAGCCAGAGGTGGTGGTGGGGGTGTCTTAGGTGGGGGCTTGGTCTGGGGCGCTCGCTTGGAGGCAGTGGGAGGTAGTTATACGGGGAGCTCTGCCTGGCCCTGTGGGGTGCTGCACCTGCCCCCGTCCCTCTTGCTGGTCCACTCTGGAAGCCTGAGGATCGGGCAGCAGGTGAAGAGCCTGGGTTTTGGCCAGGGGTGTGTTTGTGCACCCACCTCCTCCCTGACCCCTTAATTAAGTGCTTCCCACCCACCCAGACCCATAGAAAGGGTTGTCCCTGAGACCCTGTGAAGGAGCAGCAGTGGAAAGCCGCAACCTTCTTGCTCTCCAGGACCACATCTTTCTCCATCTCTCCTCCTCAAGGGAAAGGCACCCAGGGGCCGTTTCCGTCCCCACTCCTCTCAGCCCCCGAGGTTTCCCTCTGTCCCCTCCGAGGGTCCCCTAGGGCTGCTGTAATGGAGGGGCTTCTCCAGGCTCTGTTTTGAAGCCTTAACATTTTCAAGAGCTGTGAAAAGTCAGAGGGGACAAGACGGGGGCAACCAGAGTCTGAGGCCACACCTTGCTCTTCCCTCGAATTTCCTTACCAGGTGGGAGCCAGGATGGATGAGAAAGTGCCCCATATATTTTTTTTCCTAATCTGTCCAGTTCTCCCTGTTGAAGCAAATTCCTTAACACCTTTGGTGAAGAATTTCTTGCCCGAATGTGGGCCTCTGATGCCCTCCAGTGTGTGGTGAGTGCAGTGTGTGTGTGTGTTTGTGTGTGTGTGTGCTTGTGTGTGAGCCTAGGGGCCATGCCTGAGGGCCTGGGATTCGAGGAGGGTGCCCCTGTGTGCTGTGTGGGCGGCAGGGTGTGGGGTCCACGCAGCAAGGTTCCCTGGGCAAGGCTCCCTGCCTGGCTCTCCCCAGCTTCTGCAGCATCTGCTGTGTCTTTGGACTTCGTGGAATAACCTCACCCAGGCCGCCCCTTTACTCCACCATGGAATCAACATCTTCTCAGCCCTCTGTTGGGGGAGATAATGAAACTCCAGTTAGCCCTCTGAACCGCTTCTCATTCCGCAGCACAGTTCTGACCGCTAAGGTGTCTCGCTGTTCCAGATCCCCCACGTCCCATCTCCCGCCTCTCCCCTTCCTGTCCTCCCACCTCCCTCTGCTGGTCCCCGGCTCGGTTCAGGGAAATGCCATCTCGCCTCAGCCCTCTGCTGCTCCTCTCACTCAGAGCTACTTGAAACTTCCTGCTCTTGCTAGGATCGGAGCCTGTGTGTCTCTTCCCTCTGCCCCAGCTCAGACTTCTGGAACTGTCCTCCTGGGGGTGCTGTTGAGGATGCTGGGGCATTCTGGGGTGGCAAGGGGGTGGAGAGGAGGGAACACCCCTCTCATCTCACTGTTGCCTTCCCCCCTGGGGGACGCGTGCTCTCTCTGTGTCTCTGGGTCTTCTGGCTGTGCACGTTCTTATGACCTTGTAAATATGTTGTAGAAAGAAAGCAAAAGGCACTGAACTAGACCCTGGTGGGACTCAGGGGTCCAACCTTGCCGTCTCTGAAGCACCCACACTGCTTTTCACCCCATTCTCTGAATCTGAGGCCCCCCAAAGCTAGACAAAGCAGCTTGTTCCCAGTGGGCTGAAGGCCTCCACGTGACTTCTTGCCAGACCAGCTCGAGGTTTCCCCATGGGCAAGGTTGCAGGGTAGTCCTTCCTCGGCCCCTCAGATTCGTGTCCTTGACCAAGCTGCCTGCCACCCAGCCCCTCCCTGGTCCCTCTACTCGGACGTCCTCTCTCCGTCCTGTCTCCACTCCCCTTGCCTAGGCAGGCAGCGGAATTAGGGCTGCATTGAAAAGAGCTCAACCAAATTTTAGAAGAAAGGTTTCTTGCCTGGCCCCAGAGCTGCCCTTGGCTACGGCAGGCCTCCTGACCCATGGGTGCTGGGAGATATGAGTGTGTCTAAGATGGGGTAGGTTGGAATTGAGAGAACGAATGTGCCTTGAGAGACCACTCAGAGAGGGTCCAAGGGTGATGGGGGAGGAGGCACGGCATGGGAGCTCAGGAAGGAGGGAGAGGGAGGTGAAGCAGAGGAGAGCATGATGGGGCATCATGACTGCTTGCTACTGTCCTGCTGGGGCTGTGACCACATGGGGTCAGTGGTCACCCTTCCTCATGCCAGCCCTCCTGGTTTTAGTGTGCAGGCCACTCACTCAACCTTTCATGAGCTCCATCTGCTTCCAGCTTCACCTCTGAGTGGGTGGGTCCATTGGGATCAACACTGGAACCCTCCATTTCACCAAAGCCTCACCCTCAGCCCTTGGGGAGAATGAATGGCTAATCCACTGACACCTGGCGTCATCGTGAGGCTGTGGGCTGGCAGGGTTCAAAGGGAAGAGACAGTGGGGGTGCAAAAGGAGACTCGAGACATCCCGAGGAAGTCCCAAGCAGAGCAAACTGCTTTATAGCCTGAAGCCTACTTAAACTGTGTTATGTGCAATAACTGAGCTTAGAGTTAAGAATTGTGTTCAAGTGCTTGGATTTCCGTCTGTATATTTAAGTGCTGAAATCGTATCTCTCAGTAATTTTAGACGTCTTTAAAAAAATCGAAAAACAAAGTGTTAGACCGTGTGTGTGCATTGATGGGCACTCAAGTGTCCTGTGGATCACCCCACTTTCTCCCTTTCCCCTGTGCCCCCGTCTCCTCACACCCAGCCCCGCCTCCACTTGGGGCCCCCGCCTCGTGTTCTCTTTATCTGCCTATTACTCAGCCTAAGGAAATACGTACACGCCACACATGCATAAAGGAAATCAAATGTTATTTTTAAGAAAACAGAAAATAAAGACTTTATAAACACCACCTACTGGCAGTACCCTGATTATTCTTCCTCTTGGTGCCATTTTTCACAGAAAGGGCAGTCACGAACGAGGTCCCAGAGTACGGGGTGTGGTCAGCTTCTCTTCCTCACCTTCCATCTGCGAGACCCCGGAGAGGGTGGGGCTGGGAGGAGGGGCCTCATTTACGGAGGGGAGGACCAGGAGCAACGTAGAAATAGTTTTGGTATTATTGCAAATATGTCTGCAATCTATATTTGTATTTATGCCAATAACTACATCTCTATCACAAAGCAGAGATCAAACTTGATGTCCTGCTTTTTCCATTTAACCTATTAGGAACCTTTCCCCATGGTATTAAAATTATTTGAAGACATGACTTTAATAGTTACATAGTATTCCACAATATGGAGGTACTCTAATGAATTTGACCATTTCTCTCTTTTTGGACATTTATATTATTTCTAATTCTTGATACCTTCACCTCTAACCCTAGAACTTGCTAACCCTGGTCTTGGGCAAGTCATCTGGCAGATGGAGAGAAGAACCCCTCTTACAAGGATCACAGGTGCCTTCTAACCAGTGAAAGCCCGGCATGAATGTCACGTTAAGCCCCCTGGGCCAGGCCACAGCCAGGGCAGGCTCTGGCCGTCTGGCTAGAATGGACCCTCAGGAAGGGGAGCTCCCTCCCCGGGGGTGGGAGGTCATGCAGGTGGTTTTCTGCCACCATGTTTCTATCATGGTTTCTCATGGCCACCTGCAAGGTCAGACTTGGAGGCTCAGGAGTCTTTCTGGAAGGAAGTGTGAGGAGGGATAGGACTTGCCGTGGAGCTGCTGCCAGCACTCAGGATGAAGGGGAAAGTGCGTGGAGATGGGGACGGAGATCCCTGGGTACTGGTCCACTTGTAGGAAGCTGTGGTTTGGGGAGCAGAGAAGCCATGGTGGGGGAGGGTGCCTTGAGATTGAAATTGGTCAGTGGAAGCATCTTATATCAGCCCATGAGATAGGTACTGTTATTAATGCCCCTTTTGCAGATGAGGAAACCGAGTCTCAGAGAGGTTCAGTAGCTTGACCAAGGATATACAGCTGGATTCTGCTTCCTATCTACCATCTGACACAAAGCAGGCTGCCATCAGTGCCCAATGATTGTGCTCCTCGTATGGCCCCCAGGAGCTCAGAGAAGGAGGGTCACCTGCACAGGGTAAGTTCAGGAAGGCTTCATGGAGGAAGGGGACTTCAACTCGGCTCCCTAGATGGGTAGGAATGATCTGATGGCTCAATCCTGGCTGCACATTGGAAACATTTGGGGACGTCTAGGTCCCCAGGCCTCACCCCTAGAGATTCTGATTTTGATGTTCTGGGTGGGGGCCCGGGCATCAGTATATTTTAAAAGGTTCCCAGGTAATGCTAATGTGCAGCCAGATGTGTGCTACCAGACTAAGCAGACACACGACATGTCCCTCAGGTGGGGACAGGATGTGCGAGAGGCCAGTGCAGGAAGAAGCCCATGAGGAGCCAGGCCTGGGCCCTCATCTCGGGGTCAGGGCAGTATGAGGCCCGCAGGCCAGTTCAGGGGCAAGAGCAGGAAGCTCCAGAGTTCCCTGGCAGGAGGGCTTTCGTTTTATCGTTTCCTCCAACAATTTATCAGCCACGAAGCCAGGCCTGGGTACCCGGTCACTGAGGAGCCTGCAGCCTGCTGAGGGCACCTGCATCCGTGGGAACCCTCTGAGGGAGCATCCTCACCCTGCAGGGAAATGTGGCATTTGTACTGATGATCAACATCTGTTCAGGCGATGGGGAGGTAGAGGCCAGGCAGGGCCCTGCCTTCTGGAACAATACATCCATTGTCACCGTATCCTGACAACCTGGGTTCCCAGGGCCAGCGGCAAACAGCGTTGCTGGGACAGACCCAGGTGCTGACAGCCGTTTGGGAAGCGCCCGCTGCCCGCACTCCTCCTGGACGTGCTCCCTCCCCAGCACCGTCCTCCCACCCTCTCCCTGGCCACCTCATTCTGGCGCCTTGTTTTTCCTCAGGATTTTGCCTTCTGGGGACAGGGACAGGGATTGGATATTTACTGCCTTCAGGTGAATTACCCCGGGCCCGAGAACAACTATGAAAGAAAAAAATCGAACAGCACGCAAATCCATATAGCTACCAAGACTAGCCTCCCCCGCTGCCCCCCGGCCCCTGTG